AACCAAGAGTTGGATGCTTAACTGACTGAGCCACCCAGGCGCTGGTGTCAAAGTTTCTTAATGCAAACCTCACCCACACTGTGGATCAAAAGATGGCTTTCTAGAGGAAACTAAAGGGAGACCTGAAGATGTCTACCAACTGGCCATGTGAAGTGTGGGTTGGAAAAGTGGCACAAGGGTAGGCAGGCCTTAATATTCCAGGCAAGAGTGACATCACAGAAACATAGTGGCCTCAAAAGACTGGAAATAAGAGAAAGCATGCCAGGTTGGAGGATTTACAATTACTTTTGGGTAGAAGCACAGGGAAACATACAGCCGTAAGACAGAAATAGTAACCATCTCTTCTGAAGAGCTTTATCCTGAGCATGAAAAGGATATGGCTGCAGGAGAGTAACTAAAATCAGATTTGTCTGTTTTACAAAGGTATATACATACTTAGGGGCACCTGGGCGGCTCAGCTGGTTAAATACCTGACTCTTGATTTCGTCTCAGGTCATGATCTCACAGTTCATGACTTCGAGCACCACATGGAGCTCTGCACTGCCAGTGTGGAGCCTGGTTGGGATATATATTCATTCATTCATTCATTCATTCATTCTCTCTCTCTCTCTCTCCCCCCCCGTCCCTCCCCTACTTGCACACACTCTCCCCCACTCTCAAAATAAATAAACCAACTATTAAAAAAAAGATATAAATATATATATTTAGAGAGAGGGACGGAGTGGGGGGAAAGAGACTAATAGGGAAGGGGAGAGGGGGAAGTGTAGGGGAAGGGGAGAGGAAGTAGGGAGGGAGAAAGAATTCAAGAGGGGAAAGCAAAAAAGCAGATCAATAAGACAGCTGTTACCACCGTACAGCCAAAAGGTAACTGTGTCTGAGCTACTAAAGTAGCAAGAAAGATGATGAAAACTAGGCAGATATTAACAAGGGTGAACTGGTAAGACTTGGTAATTTGAGGAAGGATCATGGAAGAATTCAAGGTTGACTCATATTTATTGGACTCTCTTCTATTTATGAAAGCCCAGAAAAATGCATATAAATGAGGTGATGGGGATTAAAGAGTACCCTTATCATGATAAGCACTGAGTAACATACAGAATTGCTGAATCACTATATTGTACACCTAAAACTAATTAACACTGTGTTACCTACACTGGAATTAAAATTAAAAATAAAAATGCCTATAAATTAATACAACATGGAATAAACCCAAACACTGAATAGAGAGAATGTTCTCATTAGCATAGAATACTTTTACCAAAATTCCTGGAATGCAGAAAATAAATGGAAACAAATGGGAACAAAGAAAGCTTAGTGAACACAGAACAAACAGGGTTTGCACTGTTAACCGCCACATTATGTCAGATTAGAAACTGGCAGAGTCCTAGGACGAAAATCAAAGGGTTAATGGAAAGTCTGCGTAATGAACAAATTCCTCTTTCTCCCATTTCCTCATCATCTCTCTCCCTTATCATTAAAAAAAAAAAAAAAAAAAAAAAATTCCTCCCTTAAAAGAAAGAAATTCTAAAGAGAGTTTTACAGGCCCAGAGTAAGGACCTCTTTGGTATTTATGGGATCCCAGCTCAGTGTCCAAACTCCTTATTTTACTCTAGAGGAAAGCATACCAGTCCAATAAAACCTAATTGTCCATTCTAAAATATATAAACACAACTGGGGGGAGGAAGACAGACAGATGGACAGAAGATAAACATTAACAGCTAACACTGAAAGAATGAGATAATTTAGATAGAGTGAGGTATTTTTAAAAATACTATTAATTAGTAGTATCCTTAAAAAAATTGTGAAATCACAAAACACTGACCAATTGTAACCTAAAAAGGATTATCAAAAAAGATTAAAGGGCTTCTGAAAATTAAAAATACGGCTGCAAAAACAATTGTTTTGTTTTGTTTTCCCAACACAAGCAACTGTTGCATTGATTGTTCCCTATGTCTGGAATAGTCCAGGCCAGAATAAGTGTATTTATTTCCAAATCACTTTGAAGTTTGTTACTAAAATGTCACCTGTTCATGGGGTTTTCACTAAGTATTCTATTTAAAATTATAAATCCCCTTCCCTTACATGCATTTGTCTATAGATGCCTTATCTTTTTTCATGTTCCCTGCAATGGAATCTTTTAAAATGAGAATGCATTCACAAATTACTTTACTAAAAATACTAATATATAAATAAAATTGAAATACTGAATGCCATTTTAAATTCTGAGTAAAATAAATATAGAATATCTTCCTTTGGCATATTTCCTCATGATAAATTCCTAGAAGTACAATTTCTGGTTCAAAAGGAATGAAAATTATTACCAAATTAAAACAAAACCCAGCTGAAAATTCAGCCTTGTCTTTAGACAAAAAATTTTAAATATTTATTTATCAACTATCAAAATGATCTGGAAAGGTCAGTTTTTATGAAGGTTAAAATATATGAGGAATTATTTTCCATTACATTTTCAGTAAGACAAACAGCCAGTTTATATTTTACTGAAACATAAAACATATAATTAGCTAAAAACTGTATTAAAAGAGCTAAAAGACCGTTCCTTAAATGCTATGTTTTTAGGTCTAAAATCATTCCTATACTATTTAAAAAATATATACATATTAATTTTAAATAATTGGTATCTGCTACATCACACTGAAAAAAATTCAATATATTCATATATTCTCAATTCTTACATTCCCAAACACCCCCACTCCCACCAGAAAACCATTCACACATCTTCAATAAAAATATTTCCATAAGACCTATAGGTCTTAAGTTTCTTATAGAAATATTTTTATTTCTAACATTTTTATTTCTAATTTTAGTTATTAATAACTAAAGGTATTAAACATACCTTAAAACTCTAAGCAACAGACCTATACAGTTTACGCTAATAGTAAACCCAATCTCATGTACAGTTTCTATACAAAAATTTGAACTTGCAACATGAAAATGAACATTTTGACTAGAACCTTAAAGCTTTGAAAAAATATTATTTACTTCATCAAGCACCAATTTAAAACATGCACATAATAGACTTCACATATATTTTGTAAATTAACATAATATTTAATACTTAGGGACATACTGCAAGAAAATGTCTTTAAAATAACAAGAAAATGCCCATAGCTTCTGAATGGTTAAAAATTTTTACTTTCTGTTAATATGTTTCAGACTCTTAATATGTCCTAGGCCATTTTATTTGTATACCTACACATACTCACTTGGTTTAATGTATTATCTGTTTTTAGTTCTTTGTGATTGGAGTACTGGATATAAATTGGTTGGTTACGGAGATGAGGTGTCACAGCAGAATAGTAATTAACCATAGTAATAGCGGCTTCCTCTGTTGCTAGTTCCAAAAATGCCTGAAAATTTAAATAGCAAATATTTTAATACCATGAATTATATTCAAATAAACGTAAGTATCTGTGTAATATATTCAGTTAATGAGAAAAATCAGTACAAGACTATAACCTTCCCAGTTACATTTAGATATTCAATAAGTTATCCTTACTTATCCTTATTTTCCATATACCACAAATATAGTCCCCCAACAAAAGCTAAAGAAAATAAAATCTAAACGTTTTCTAACATCAGAATTTTACCACTCTTAGAGACATAAGAAATCTCAGTCATTTTTAAAGCAGTATAACTCAAGAGAGAAAGAAAAAAATTAAGAATTAAATATCAGATTAGTGACATTCATTATATTTAAGAGCATGTTAAATTTCATAAGTTCTTCTAAATGATATCATTAGAAATTTTAAAGCAAAATTTTAATATGCCAGGGCACCTCTGCAACAGATACATTTATTAAATGAAGAGTTATCTAGGATTAATGACTATTTTCTTCTAATGCTATCAGATAAACACTTCCATGAGATAAACTTAAAGAAGTTGCTACTAGTATCCACACTGTTTTCTGATATCAAAGCCACAATAAAAGAAATATTTCATTTGTATTTTCCACAATCTCATTATAACAACTGTTCAATTAGAGTCTAAAAGTGAATTCAAAAGGCGAAATTTAAAACTACAGTAATTCATTCATTTTGGCTCCCTAGTATTAATTTCCCAAACACCATTACCAGGAAAAGTCAAGAACTTCTGTCATGCTCTTTTACAAAAGTCAGGACCTACTATATTCTACCCTTTTATTAGGAGATAGCTAATTCACACACACAGGATAGCTTGGGGCTTAACAGTTTTCTAAGTCTTGAAAGAAGCATACCTGATTTTTTCCTTTCAGCATAAGGATGTTGGTCACTTTACCAAAAGGTAAGCCTAAAGCAATAACTTCAGTTTCTGTCACTTCACCAGGTAACTTTCGAATATGAAGTACACGAGAAGGAGCACCATCCATTTTATCTTCTCCTTTAAATTTTTTACTATCATTACCATTGGCTGAAAGACATTTAAAAAAAATAGTTTATTAATTTTCCCCATTTGTGTAAAAAAAAGAAACCCCACAAAACAAAGTTTAAAAAAGAACTTAATTGAGCCCTGGGTCACATTGGGCTCTGTGCTCACAGCTCAGAGCCTGGAGCCTGCTTCGCTTTCTGTGTCTCCCTCTTTCTCCACCCTTCCCCCGCTCATGCTCTGTCTCTCTCTGTCTCAAAAATAAACATAAACATTAAAAAAAAATTTTTAAAAGGGCGCCCGGGTGGCTCCGTCCGTTGAGCATCCGACTTCAGTTCAGGTCATGATCTCACGGTTCGTGGGTTTGAGCCCCATGTCGGGCTCTGTGCTCAGAGCTCAGAGCCTTGGAGCCTGCTTTGGATTCTGTTCTCCCTCTCTCTCTCTCTCTCTCTACCCCTCCCCTGCTGTGTCTCTCTCAAAAATAAACATTTAAAAAAAATTTTTTTTAATTAAAAAACATAGCTGAGTATACCTGAATAATTTCTAAAAATTAAAAAACTGGGCTTTCAAAGGGAGAGAGAAAAATCATATCCACCAATTATTATCAAATAAAATTATGTTACCAATTAAGGTAACTACTGGGTAAATGTTTCTGAACAGAGTGTGTGTATGTATACACACACACACACACACACACACACACACACACACACACACGTAAAGAGTAATAAATGACAAGCAAAAATTAAAATGCAATTTCAGAAATTTTCCAATCGCTAAAGAACACAATTATCTTACAATTTAGTCATCTTATTACAGACTAACAGAAATACAAAAAGTGTGAAATATTGACTTAGCAAAAATTAGGGTGATAAGAAATTATTAATGGTTTAATTTGGAAAATATTGTACTCAAAAAGTGGAATCAAAGAAGGCAATGCTGTAAAAATAATCATGCAGTCAATCCACATGACAGCTTAACTACAATGAGTCTCTCCTAATTTACTAATATTATCACTTAATCCACCTAAGTATTTTGTCACCATCAACATCTATATAAAACACTCATGGACTTCATTAACTTACTGTTATTCTGACCTTTAAAATAAACTGATATATTTTTATCCAACAAATTAGTTACCTGCCTTTATTCCAAAGCCTCACCAAAAATAAAAGTCCTACTAAAGACCCAAAATTGGTGATATTTTATGTAAAACTGAAGGACTTGCTATCTATCCAATATTCCACAAGAGTAGTTCCTAATTATCTAAAGACTAAGGGATATTTCTGAAACTAACTAAAATGAAGGATCCTCAATCCACTGAGAAATATGTATACTCCACTTGTGTATAATTTTAGGTACTTCATGGTACTCCCCAAATCAACACTACCCATAAACATTATATGTGTGTGTTGTGTATGTATATATATTCAACAATATCTATAAAATTCTAAGATCAACTTGATCTCTAAGTGGCTTTAAAATTCACTTACACACTGATTCTTTAAGAGTTACTGAGTATCAAAAAAAACCAGTTACTGAGTGTCAAGAACATGTTTAGCACTGTTTGAGGCTCTGGGGGATACAGCAGTGAACAAAATGATCAGTAAGATCCCCGATGCTCTCTTACAGTCTAGTAGGAGAGGTGGACTAACTTACATGAACAAAATATCTCTTATAGTGATTAACTGCTATGAATAAAGCAAAGCAAAATGTTGTTGATTAAAATGGACTTAGCAGAGAACTAGAAGAAGGTTGTGTGATAGTGACTTTATTGGATGATTAAAGAATATCTCTAGGAAATAATATGTGAACTCACTCGATAATTAACTTATTAAGTTAAATTTAAGTCATATTTTATGCTAAGAGCTTTACTGAAGTTTATATACAGGAATGGCTAGCCAATGCCTTTAGAAATCCCCTTTGGATGGCTTTGTACAGAAAAGTAGTAGGCTCTGGCCTCTGGATATATTACCATGAAAATCTTGGTGGCTAGCTCCTAATCACTCCAGAAATAAGAAAAACTAAAGGAAGCCCTCTATACTTCATAACTAAGGATGGTTTGTACATGCACAAGCATCTGAATATATTAGAAAGAAGAAAGAGGCTGAATTTTCTCTTTTGTGGCATTTTATTGAACAAAATCATGACTGGGTCTGTTAGCCGAAAATGTAAGTAAAGCAGGAATTTAAGGATACATGTATACTTTAAGACTTATAATTGGCATACAAACATATACTCTTATGTAAGACTACAGCCATTTCTTGGCAAAGCAAACGGAGTACAGAATCCTGATAGTTTGTGTTCTCATTTGTTCATTTGTTGGAATAACAAGAACGAATACTTCATAATCCAATCTAGAGCCCCAGGAGTTATAGGTTATGGTATCAGTAAATTTCAGTTTTTTCCTAATTTAGTCTGTCCTTCTCTTTCTGGGGAAAAAAAAGCAAAAAAAAGTACATCACAATAAAGATACTATCTATTACTGCATACATAAAGGCTTCCCTTTTTAAATTATTTTTAGAATATGATCCTCAAAAGGTTAACAGCCTGCATTTTCCCATTATAAAGAAAATAGGATAGTTTATTGTTCTGGATTTGTGTTGGGTAATTCCTGGGCAGTGTGAATTGTGAACGTTAGTAAAACAGTTAAATAATATGGAAAGGTTGGAATCATTTTGAAAAGTCAAAGAAAATAACCTTATTTTTTGAAGCTACTTTTCTTCTACATCAATATTTAACATTCCCTGCAAATTAACTACATGCCAAACACTGTACAGCTCTATAGTACAATCCCATTTATGGATAAGAGCTAGTTAAGTCGACCAAGGTCAGACATTAAGTAGTAAAAGACAAGAAGTAATAGAAAAAGACTGAAACTCAGGAAATAGGACTCCATGGCCTGTGGTCTTAACCCACCACACTATACAAGGATCCCAAAGACAAATATTGCATTATACACAATTGCCAAGAGAGGATCTGTCCTTTTCTTCCAAAGACCATGTAACATCAAGACTTACACTTTTGTCACACTCTGATATTCCCTCAGTTAGTTAATAGTTTAGAAGGGGTAGCTATTAAATATTCATACTTTAGTACTAAATATTCATATTTTGGTGTGAAATATTATTAAAGTTTTCATTTTAGATAATGAGACTATGAGAACATGAAATTGGGAAATAAGGACTTCTTTAATCATATGACTAAAGCATACTTTCATCTATAAAAACACTCCAGCCCTAGAAAAGAAAAAGGACACAAGAAAATATATAGCACTTAGCTTATAAAACACATAGGCCATTTATTACCCTATCAGAGAAGTAAGGAAGATTGGGTCTCTCTGGGTTCCAGATCTAGGATTCTTCAAAGACAAAGAATAATTTGAACCTCTTTCCATGATCTTTTCCCTTCCACTCCTCAAGTAAATCCAGAAACTTCTGGTTTGTGTATGTAAAACCAGTAACAATTAAAATGATTTCTACGAACTGAGGCAACAACAATATAGTAATACTTTTATTTATGCATACAGGTTGTATATAAATTGCAGAAACCTTTAATATTATTTTCCATATATTATTCAGCCTTCTTAAAGCCTTTTGCTTAAGATGTTCTTCTCAAATTTGAAACAAAACAGTATGTAAAAATATGCAAAAACTGTTTCTATTTGAATACTTCCTCTGCCAAATTCAAAAGTGGTTTTCTACCACAATTCTAAAGTGACCATGTTCATTCACCTTTAATCAGTCTCTTTTTCCCCTTGACTGACCTTTGCTTTTTACTGGTGTTTATCACAGTTTTCACGTAACAGTCTCACCAAGATTCTGGGTAATTTGTTAAATCCATCCATGGCCAAAATACTGTAAGCCCTTTCATACTTACCATATCTCTGTTCTCACAGCACCCCTAACAATTCACATCTAGTTTTTTTACTTCCCTGACTCACTGTATAGTTGTTTGAACTTTCTGTTAAGCACGCATTCCCAGTAATGGTGGGAATTCCTCAAGCTGTACTGGCCCCAAAGTCCTATCTTTACTTGCTCATGTAAAACCTGGGTCTCAAAAACCACCTGCTCATTTAATTTGTAAATCTATTACCTTAGTCCCACTCATTCACCAATTTTCTAATTCTATACTTTCAACTGCATCAGCCTGAAGTGCAACATTACAAAACTTTATACTTCCACTTATTTATACAGTAGAAACTATTTAACAAAAGATAAGTACATTCTCATTCTCTGAAGTCTTTCAGACCCAACCATGTATAAAAAAGCATTGGTAGCATCCTTATCGAATGTGAAACTGACAGGAAAAGCAGTTTCAATTCCAATCAGTTTTAGTTAAGGCTTCAGGGCAAAGCATGTTATAAAAGCTGTTGGCTTTAGAAAAATAAAAAATAAAAATAAACCTGAGTTACGAAAAATGAATGCTCATATTCTTTACATTCCTATCTGGGAAAACAGAAAACCCAAAGAAGAATTAACCAGAAATGCAGGTATATACAGAAAGACACTTCTGTTATTCTGCTAGCTGTTTAGTCAGGTCCAACAGCCACCACACAAAAAATCTTAGATTTAATGTAAAAACTGGCTATAACTCTGCATTTTCAAGAAGCTGCACTGCACAGCCTACTTGCCAGAAGTACCTTACGCATGAGCTAGGAAAAAATAGAAGGCTAAACTAGAAGACTCATGTGCTGGAATACTTCAAAGCATTATAGCAAAATGAAAATGAAATGGCATTATATAAAAATGTCTTCACATAAAAATTAAAATCTCAAAGAATTCTGAGTAACATATACCAGAATCTATGGGATGATTTCAGTTTTTTCACATAAAGCAAAATATCACACTTTTAACAATATTTAAGTCCTACTATTATAGAATAACAATCAGGATTACTGGCAGAAATATGTATACTTTAAAGGGACAGTCCATATCCAGAGCTATGAAGAAATGACTCAAAAAATTAAAGAGACCATATTTTACAATTGTCAAACCTCCTCTCCAATGAAAAACTAGTTATTCTTTTCAATAAAAG